CGGTTCACAACCAAACGGCTCTGGCCTGTGGCCAACAGGACACCTGGAACCCCCTTTGCCAGGGACAAGGACAGGGGAGGCAGCCACAGTGCAGCAAAGGGGGGACGGCTCCGTCGAGCATCACGGGCCTGACACCAGGGCCCACGGGAAGTCAGGACTGAGGGCAGAGGGCCGAGCAGTGGGGGGACGAGGACAAGAGAGCAGCCTTCAGGCGACCCGACACCCACAGGCCTGACGCCGACAGGGCAGCAGAGCTGGCAGCCAGCAGTCTCCAGCCCGGGGCCACGACAGCTGCCACAGGCCATCCTCAGCCTTACACTTCACTGCTGTCCTGAGGGTCCTCGGCGCCACCAGACCAAGGGATACCGCCAAGGGGAAGGCGGTGAGGAATGAGCCTGGGACCCTGGGTCATCGCCCCAGAGACCAAGCCGTGCAGCCCTACCCACAGCTGGCCCGCCAGAGCCCAAGCCCGCATCAGGCAACCCCCCTCCATCTCTCCAAGGGCACTGGGACTCCCAGCTCAGGCCTCTGGGACTGTACTGCTGTCCTGACCCACTGCCTAGCACAGGCCTGGCCCACTGGGCTCTCCCAACCCAAGTAGACGGTGGCCTGCAGGTCACCAATGTGAACTCTCTGGGGCCCGGCTCACTGCAGGGTCTGAGTCCCAACCCTGAGGCAGGAAACAGAGGGAACCCTGACCCCACAGAAGTGTGACCCCACCCCCAGGCCACAAAGCCCTGTCTGGAAAGGCCACACCACAGAGAAGCCTCTCTGCCATCATCTCTGGCTCCAGAAGTCCTGACAGACACAAAGGGCAGCCACAGGCGGAAAAGCGAATGTGGAGGCAAGGGCGCCAGTGCTGCCCCTCCACTCTGGGCCCCAAGAAAGTCAGTGACAGGAGACAAAGGGTCCCCTTCACAGGGCCCTAGGCACCTGCGGTCACACAACCACGCCACACCTGGGCCAGCCGTTGTCACAAACACTGTGCTTTCCACTCTCATCCATCTCTGGATGAGGCTGGAGGAGTCACTAGGAGGACCCCAGGGGCTCAAGGCACATCACACCCACCGAGTTACAGGCGGCAGTGACAGGATGCACCACAGAATCAGCAAAGGGAAAAACACACGGAGGAGCTTCCAGTACCCCCTCCCTGGCTGACTCCCCCAGAACGAGCTGAGACCACGAGTGAAATGCTCTCCAGAGACCCAGCGCCCAGGGGGCACTGGGGGCCGCTCACGTGGGCACCCGACTGGCAGGCGCCCAATTTCCAGCCTTCCAGAAGGGAGCACGCACTCTGCACAAAGCATGCTGTTTGCACGGTTCAGGCCCTTCCTCGGCCCCACCGCGTGAACTCCTCTGCACGCACGCACACCAACGCCGGTCATCAGGAAACAGAGCTCAGGCACCTCGACAGCCCAGAGCGGGAGGCAGCCAAGCCGGAGCGCTGAGGGGCAGCAGCCAGCAGCCCCGGAGGCCGCTGAGCCCAGCCCTCGGAGGCGCCCAGACTCCACTCCCCCTGCAGCGCGCTCTCCGTGGGCAGGAGGCGCCACCTCGAGCCTCCTCACCTTCCACGTTGTTGTAGAAGTGACAGGAGCGACTTGCCACCTTCTTGCGGCACAAGTGGACCTGGGTGAAGACGAGGTCTGGGCTCATGTGACGGCCGAGCCCTGCCCCAGCCAGGCACCCCCTGCCAGCTCCACCCCCGCCAGCTCTTTACCCCTCTGTTCCCCAGGGGCACAGCTGGGGGCTCTAAAGCCCAGGCAGCACCCACGCAGCAGCAGCAGACCCACCAAGGCCAGGCTGGGCGCCCCAGGGCCCACCTGCATGTGGTTACTCTCCTGCTTCTTCACCTCAGGATGGACACACAGCTGCTCCCGGGAGCCCAGCACGCACACTCGGGGCCTGGTGGAGGAGACGGTTGGGGGGCCCAAGGATCAGAGGGCGGGGGCCCCAGTGCTGTCCAGCGGCAGGAGCCACGTGGGCTGCACCAGGAGCCCAGGGAAGCTTGGCTCACACGCCCGGGCAGCCAGAGGTAGTGGCTGGGGCGGAAATCCGCCCCAGGCTCGAGAGGGGCTTTCACCGTGGCACGGCCCGCTCTGAGTCAGCGTCCAGGGTGAGGCCGAGAGACTGGGGCAGGCCTCAGGGAGACCTTGCCACCTGCATCCTCCCTCTCGTGGGAGGCCGGCGGGGAGGGGACACCAACTCTCCTGCAGCAGTGCTGGGGTCTCCAACACGGGGCAGGGCCTCCCCCAAGCAGCTGCCCTGACCCACGCCCACAGCCATCGGGGTGATGGCTGCGAGGAGCTCAGGGTATGAGCCTGAGGTCAGGGCGGCAGCCCCACAGCCAGAGCACGGCGCGACCCCAGGGCGGGGTCCAGGCAGAACACCCCCGTGACCCCAAGGCAGGGGTGGACGCCGCCTGACTCACCGGTAGGAGGTGTTCCGGAGCTCACTGATGACCTGAGTGAGCTGCGAGTGGGTCCTGGAGGCGTAAATGATCTTTGGGACGTCCGCGTAGCACGCTGCCCGGCACAAGGGAACAGGACAGGTCACGGCCCACGTGTGCAGTTAACCCGGGGCACTCAGCTAACTTGGCCCAGGGACAGCTAAGCATCGATGCCCAATACTTGCTACAGAAAGGAGTGCAGTGGGTCTCTGCAGGGTCCTCATTTGGCCATAAGGCTCTGACCTAGGTTTACAGCCAGGACGGCGAGAAATGACGTGGCAGCTACAACCCCCCTTCCTTCCCCGCCTCCCAGCCCGGGGCCAGGAGAGGGGCAAAAAGGGGCATCACCTGGGACATCTCCTTCCAGGGCAGCGTTCCCCAAGGACGCCAAGGCGCGGTCAAGGAAGAGCTCCCCTGACATCCTCTCGGCAATCTTGCGGGCAGAGACAGCGTCTCGGAGCTGCTCCCGCCAGGCCAGCGTGCTGCAGAGGAGACACAGCGTCTTCCCCGTGCCCGTGGGGCTCTCCAGAACGCCGTTCACTTTCTAAATGGGGTGGGGAACAGCGTCACGGGGGAACAGGGGCAGGCTCCGCAGGCCACACAGCCCACCTGAGACAAGCCCTGCAGCCCCTGGGGCAGCTCTGCTCCCACTCAGCGGGGGACATAAAATACCAGAACCTCTCCACTCTCAAACCAAAAGCTGTAGATCAAACCAGGTCTCATTAGCAAACAAGTTACAGAGCATTACCCAAAATACCATGCTATTTTTCAGCCTAGTATAAATAGGAAGATGACTAATTAGGTGTCAAGCCCCAGAATAGGAGTTTGATTCTGTGATTCTGGATCCAAGCAGTTACACTACCTGAATGGAATCTGACGGTCTACATAGCTCTCGGCCTGAGTGGAAACCTAGGCAGACACAGGCATGTCTGCAAAGCTGCCCCCAGCTGCCACAGGAATGGGAACATGGGCCCAGCTACAGAGGCAGCCCTCAAGGGCTGGGGGCTTGGGCAGGGTACAAGAGGGCATGCCCAGAAACCCAGCAGAAAGCAAGCTGCACCCCCTGAGCTTTAATGACCTCCCCTAACGAGGGCTGGGCACCACCTGTCCCTCTGTGTGGAAATACTTCCTCCAGACCCTCAGCTGGACGTCCTCATGGCTTGGCCTCACTCACACTCCACCTGCGCAGAGAGGCCCCCAAGGCACTCTTAAGCCTATCACCTTATATCTTTTCTTTACAGCACTCCTCACCGTCTACAATTATCCTTTTTGTTTATTTGTTTAGCATCTCTCCTACCCCACCTAAAACATGAACTCTATTTATGGTCGACTCCCACGTCCAGAAGGGTAGCTTCACCAGGAGGATCTGGCCGGAGTAAATAGGACAGTGCGTGTACATTGGGTCTTGCTGAGGCTCTACCCACTCTGACCCATCCCCTGGGTACAAGCCCCTCAGTCTGCAGCCTCACCTTCTGCAGACACTCCAAGACCTTGCTCATGTACTCCTCTTGGCATTTGTATGGCTGGAAAGGGAAATCCACTGTCACACCATTCAGGGTTATCTTGGGCATACTGGCCTACTCTCTGTCTCGGGCGGACACAGAGGCTGGCTGAAACGCAGGCGGTGCGGGTCTGTGAGACAAACCCCTCTCCGAACATCTCAGGGTCTCAGCCGCTCCAGGTAAGTTATGCCAGCCTGTGCCGCTGGGACACGTTCTCCACGGGAGCCCCTATGGCAGAGACGGCAATGGCAAAACTGTTTGTAGCGACCCTTTCCCGAGCGCCAGGCCACTTCACCAGTCCCTTCAGGCAGTGCCTCCGCAGACACGTCCGAAGGCGAGCCTGTGACATCCTGTCACAAGGAGGTCGGAGAGGTGTTGGCCCTGCCTTGTTCTCCCGCCCCAGGCAGCTCCACCGTGCTCCGGGAGAGGCGACAGGAGAGGGGCCAGATGCAGCTCCACGTGCTCCACACGCAATAACACTGCATTGACCTCCGCCAGAGCTTGAGGGGCCACAGTTCCCAGCGGAGCCCCCCCAGCCTGGGCCGGTCGGGACCCCCCGCCCCTGCGGCTCCCAACCCTCCGCTCCACGGACCAGCCCCGTCCCTCCCAGGTGGGCAGCGAAAGAGCACGTGTGCTGCTCTGACCTGGGACGCGAATCCGTGCAGCGCCCAGCAAACCACTCAGCCTCCCGAGGCCTGGTTTCGCATGGACACTCGGACTAACAGCCCGCGCTCCTAAACCCCGCCGGGCCGCCATTCC